ATTCCTGCTTTCTTTTGAGGGTGAATTTTTCAATAAGTCAAGTTAAAAAAAAAAACAAAAAACAAAAACCCTTGTCTGACACTTCCCAGAACCTTGAAATCCTCCTAAAATACTGTATGTTGCCTGAGTATCTGTTGTTATCTATTTTCAGAACAATTTGTCCATATTTCCTAGGCAGCTAGACATTCCACAGTTAGCTCCTACAGTGATATTTTAATTTAGCTCTCTTTTCATCCACACCCATGCATTCTCTCCAGGGATTCAGCTCCTCTCTTGGAATCCCTTTTAAGATTGCTAGATCCTATTGGCTCCCATGCTTTCTCCTACTAGACTGTTGGATCACAAGATGCTATTTCTGCTTCAAATTATGTTTCGTTCTTCCTAGAAAAAAGCCTCAGAGTAGTGAGATAGCTTCGGGAAACTATTTCTTCTCTGTCTCCTCAGTATCATTGTCCTTCAGTCATTACTTCTTGCATTAGTTTTTTATTTCATCTGACGCCTCACTTTTTTCTTTCTACCTTGTTCAAGATTATTTCTTCCATCTGTAGGAACCTCTTGTTCTCCCCAAGAAACTTGAGAGACAAGAGACTTTCCTCCATCTCTTTCATCATCTTCTCTAACAAAAAGACAACCTTAAAAAGGTAGAAAGTAATATAGCCATGAAAAGTAATGTATGGCCACCTCAGAATGGGATGCCAGTATGGCACATTTTCTTCATGTTTCTAGAACAGTTCTCTTGTCATCCATGCCTCTCAGGCTTCCCATTGAGATGTTGTGTTTTGCAGCTTGCCCTCAAAGCTTCCCTTCTGAACTATATAGGCCACTCTTTCTTTACTACCAGTCTCCTGGATATGTTAGGCTCCAGGGGCCGTTGCCTATGAACTAGACCTGACATTTCTTGCCCTTCTTCACTCACCTTCGATAATCCAGCTGTTGGTATTTAGTATCAACTCACACCAGCAAATTCAGCCCCCTTCAGTACATATAGGGCCACACAAGACCTTTGACTGAGTTTTCCCCAAATATTTTACGTATTTTGACCCCTTATCTCTAACTTCCTACCATGTTTGTTTATCACTGTGCTTCTTATTTATCAGACATTTATAAAAATAGTAATACCTAACAGTGTTACCTACTAGTGTCCGGAACTATGCTAATATTGTTCCTGTTATTTTTCTAGTATTGTTCTGTGTACATTTCTTGTATTAGTCATTGAATCTGTACAACTGCCCCTTTGACATTTATCCTGTCATTATCCCTCCTTGCTGAAGAGAAAACCTGAAATTTAGAGAAGTTTAGTAACTTAACCAAGGTCACAGAGTTCCTAAGACAGGGAAGGATTCTCTCCCAGGTGTTTTCACTCCAGAACTTCGGATCTTAACTATTACCATGTGCTACCTTACACTACGGTGTTCATCACTATTCATATTAATTTAATATTTCTTAATAACCTTGAAACAGTGTTTCACTATCCAAGTGCAAAAACTTTCCTAGCTCTGATTTTCCAAAAATAATGTAGCTTGGGTTTTCTTCACTGCTAGCCACTTTATTACCGGTCTGAAAGAAAAGGAAAAAAATATATAAGCTGCTCCCAGTATAAAATACAGAGCAAAGACAAGAACATTTCATTGGCTTTGACTTCCCTAGAGTCCAGCTCCAAACTAATTTACTTCCTATTCAAGGAAATCATAAGTTTGAATTAAGATCTTATCCAATCTTTACTTTTCTCTTCCCCTTGAATGAAAAAAATAAGTAAAACTCATTCACCTGGCAAAGCCTGAATACTTTATATTTTTCTTTACCAGTTCCACAACGTGTATAATTGTTATTGAGAAGGACTTCTTAAATTAAATCAGTTGCTCAGCCATGATGATAATCAAAATCATTTTGAAAGATTGTTAAATATGTACTAATGAAAAGTTGGAAACTTTGAATTTTTCTATCGTGGTACTATATAAAGTATCCACATTAGGATACTTTATAAATTGTACTTATAATTTTTAAATTATATTTATAACGTCATAAATAATACTTTGGCTCAAATTGTTATACCTAAATTCGTTTTATTATTATTGAAATCGGCTTCTTGTGTTTCTAATTTTTCCTTTTTTCTTTTTTCCTTTTTGAAAAAAAAATTTAGCTCCTAGTCAGACTGTTACTCTGGTGACACAACCTGTGGTTACCGAGGAAACTGCCATCTCCAAACTAGAAATGCCGTCTTCCTTGCTGTTGGAGGTACCTGCTCTGGCAGATTTCAACCGGGTTTGGACAGAACTTACCGACTGGCTGTCTCTGCTTGATCGTGTTATAAAATCACAGAGGGTGATGGTGGGTGATCTTGAAGACATCAACGAGATGATCATCAAGCAGAAGGTATGGGGGAAAAAAGAGAAGAGCTGGCAGAGGTTTATCTTTAAAGTGAAGGTTTTCCACAAGTCATTTCCCACCAGTTTTTAGGTAGCTTTTCTCTGTGAGCCAACACACTACTCTCTCTACTCTGTTCAGTCTAAGTATGATCAAGGAAACAAATGAATGCAGTTGTCTAAAACAACCATAAATTACAAAGGAACAATACAAGTAAAAAAGCTTAGCCCTTAAAGTATAGTTGGCTTAATTAAATTCACTAAACATCTGGTATTTTTAAAACCTATTTTATATCAAGTAAATAGCTCATTTGAGCTGTCTACATTTGTAGTGTTTGTTTTGGCACTCTGCAGCCATAATATATTACAGAATCAAATATGATAATCTGGGAATTGGTTGTTCCCTCTTCTGAGTTGTCCATACTAATTCAAGGATAATTGAAAATAAGCTACAAATAAAAAAAGAGAAAAGTAACAAAACATAATATATTTTTTAGATACCTTAGATCTTAATATTCGTATTTATTTAATGCCATACTCAAGTAAACATGTTTTTAATACAATGATTGCATTTCCCAGCCTCATTGGAATCCATCCTAAAAAATTATGACATCAATGAGAAGCATCAGAATACATTTGACATAAATATGGTTTACTTAGCTAAAACAAATATACTATATATCTTTTATATTTCTGAATGAATAAGAAAAGTAGATTTGAAAGGTTTATATGCTATAGTTTTTTCACTTGTAAATGATGTTCAAGTCTTTTCTAAAGAAGTAATAAATTGTACTGAAGTTATTTAGCTGTTGTAGAACTACTTTTTGAAAAAACAGGGACTAGGGCAGACAGATTTCTTTTTAAAATGAACTTCAGCAATTCAGTAGGAATGAAAATAATTTAATAGTAAACAACCTACATTTAAAGTGTCTTAATCTTAGACTCAGAGGACCTGAATTCACTGGTCTTTTTTTTTTTTTTTTTTTTTTTTTTTTTTTTTTTTTTG